GGCAAAGTCAAGATCAAGAGTCACAATTTCAGGGAGTTTTAGCCCATTTTTTCTCTTGCTTAACAATATTACCTAGGCATGAACTTCAAAAGAAAAGAAACTTATTTAGCTCTCATTTATGGATGCTAAAATCCCAGCATCGAGTGGCTCTACCTGTCTGGCCTCTACAACACGGCAATGGAACAGAACAGGAACCAGTCACAGGAATCAGCCACGTTTAGAAGGGGACAAGTGCATGTTGGCTTCCCTTTGTAACTACCCACCGTAAGAATCCATTCACTCCACAGACAAGCAAGCATTCATCCTTTCCTGGGGCAGTACCCTGTGAGCTAATGATCTTTCACTAGGCTGCCTCTCAAATGTTTTTCCACTTTAACACTTCTATAGTAGGGACATCAGTTCGGGAGATAAATTCAAACCATGTCCAAACCAATGCACATGGAGGGGAGGCGGGGAAGGAAAATAACAGGGACACTTTAGAATCAAAAGTCACTGTGGCTTTCGTTTTTCTTTTGTCATAAGAATAATTTCTGTGGGCTATTTTGTGTCTTCAAAATAACTGAGCCAAGCAAAGTACACTGCCTAACAGAATTTTGTAGCACTGATGAAGCCATACAGATAATTAAGATGCCACACTGATTCTACCACGACCGTGGCGACATTTACTCTACTTAAGCAAGTGAGCTAGAGACCAGCTTCAAGAATCCCCTTCCTAGGCATTCTGATTATGGATCAGACCACAGCCTGAGGACTAGCCTTGGCTTAGCTGAACCTTGCTAAATCTACAAATGCATGGCTTAGTTCATGCAACCTATCTTGTTTTTCTACTTAACTGGTTTCTAAAGGTCAGAGTTTCCCCAAATTTACTATGTACTTGTTAACTGAGGAAATAAATATAAGGCAAATGTAAAAATCAGGAAAGGTGGCACAGAGACAAGATAGGACAAGAGACTTTTCCTCCTCAGGGAAGTCAGCACACAGTTCCTGATGTACATCAAGTCAGGTAGTCAATTTTCTATTATGTTCATTATAGTCATGCCCAAGTAGAGTGTTTTGAAATTACAGCCCAGGTGTGGTGGCGTACACCTTTAATCTCAGCACTCCAGAGGCGGAGGCTGGTGGATCTTTTTGAGTTCGAGGTCAGCTTGGTCTACATAATGAGTTCCAGGCCACCTGGGGCTGCACGGAGACCCTATCTCAAAAAGACCATGATAAATAAATAAATAAATAAATAAATAAAAGGTTAAGAGCATCAAAAAAAGTAATTACACTTTGGATAATGCTATAATTCTGTTGCAATGCAGAATACTTCAAAGATACTGTACCAACATCCTATTTACTTACAGTTGCATTTAGTGGTCTTGTTTCCCCTACCTCCATTTCCTTTGATTCTGTATTTTTAAATTATAACATTAAACTTATAGTATGCTTCTTTACAAGCTTAAAAAATGCCAAGTGGAAGTACAGATAGAATAAATACCATCTGGAAATGTTTGCAAAGCTAAGGTGAAAAGATCAGTAAGGACACACATAGATCTAATACTTCTGAATTTGAGATAAGGGTTCCATGTAGCTCAACCTGGCTTGAACTCTGCTATGGACTCCACACCCTCCTGCCTCCACTCATGAGTGCTAGAACTAGAGGCAAGTGCAGTGCCACTCACCCCTCATTTTAATAGGAAAACATTTTACTAACTGATCTACATCCCCAGACCTAGTTCTAATACACTTTTTGCTATCATCTAGTTCATCTAGTTTAGAGTATAAAATACTGTGACCCTCAAATTTTGCTGCTGTGATTTTCTCAGTGTGAGTATCTTCAATATTTTTTACGGTAAATGCCTTTTTTTTTTTTTTTTTTTTTTTTTGAGACAGGGTATCCCCTGTAGCCCCAGCTGGCCTGGAACTCTGTTAACCAGGCTGGCCTCCATCTCTCAGAGACCTGCCTGCCTCCACCTTCCAAGTGCTGGAATTAAAAGTGTGTGCCAACACATATGACTTCTACGTAATTTTAACATTTTTCAGAATCATTAATCAATATGGCAACATTTAGGAGCCATAAGAGGAAAAATTTGTTTTAGTTTGTCTGTCTGTTGCTGTGACAAAACACTCTGACCACTGCCAACGTAGGGTTCTCCTGGGTCACAGTTCATCAGGGAGCCCACTGTAACACTACTTACAGGCTTGCTCCCCTGGCTCCTGCTCAAACTGTTTTCTTATGCAAAACAGGCCCACCTGCCCAGGGGTGGTACCACCCACAGTGGGTTGGGCCCTCCCACATCACACCAATCTAGAAGATGCCCTACAGACATGGCAACAGGCCAGTTCTATGGAGGCAATTACCCAATTGAGGCTCCCTCAACCCAGGGGTGTCAAGTTGACACTAAAGCTATCCAGCACAACATTGGTTCTGAAACTCCAACCATATTTAGTGATAATAATTACTCTTTTACAACATAAGCAATTACTTTTAGGCATACATTAATTACCTCTAGTTGTGTGTGGGGCACTACAGAAAAGGGAATCCCAAGGGTTCTAACAAAGTACCACAGGTTACACGAGTCCAATTCCATAAACTCAGAACGAATGTTACAATTTAATTTGTGTAGAACTCAGAGAACATTTAACAAAGCAATTCTCTTCTCTTTTAAAAATGTTGTTCTCATACATCTTGCAATTTAAAAAAGCAGTTTTCATGAAGATGTATGATTTGTTAGCATTTTACAGCAAAATTCCTATTTGGCTTCTTAAAACAGAGTCTTAGGCTTTTTCCAATACCTCATAATTTACATATGTGTTAAAAGCATTATTTAAAGACTTAAAATGAGGAAAACTGAATTTTTTTAAAACCGAGGGGAAAATATTCCCTAATAATCTTGTTAAGAACATATGATTGGGTGAGAGATATAACTCAGGGGTGGAGTGTGAACTTGTCACGCGTGGAGGCCCTGAGCTTGATCCTTAGCACCATAGAGAAGAAATACCAGCAAGAATGCACAATGCATGATGCTCACCAGCTGGCTGGCCACAAGGGAGAAGAGGTGAGGAAAGCCCAGAGGGGTGGAGCTTTAGACTCAGCAGAAACTGCTGGCTGACAGGAGTCACGTTTCCTCCTTTAGTTTCTCCGGTAGTCCTTATGCACAACTATAGCACAATATTTTAGTGACAGAATCATCTTGTGTTTGGATTCTATCTATTCCCAGGCCTTGCAAAGTTACACACACATACACAGAGAGTTTTCAAGAAATATTAGGAATTAATTTCTCAATTTAATCCAAGGGGCAAAACTATTTGGTATTAAGGCTTTCCTTGTCACTGCTGTATGTGTGTGCTGTATGTGTTCTTGTGTGTGAGGTATTGTGTTTATGCCAAAGGCTGATGTCAGCTATATTCCTGAACTGTTTCTCCACCTTGTTTTTTGTTTTGTCTTTTTGAAACAGGGTCTCCCTGTAGCCCCAGCTGTCCTGGAGCCCACTATTGTAGACCAGGCTGGCCTTGAACTCATAGAGATCTGCCTGCCTCTGCCTCCCGAGTGCTGGGACTACAGGTGTGCACCACCACACCCGGCTTTCTCCACCTTATTTTTATTTACTTACTTTTAAATTTTAAAAGTTTTTAAATTGAATTTTTGCAAATTTCATACAATATGTTTTGATCATATTTAGACCCCCTTTGCGGTCTACAAACAAACTATATATATTTATAGATCTATAAAATGGAACGCAGGAAATCCACTTTATTTTTGAGACAGGGTCTCACTGACCCTAGAGCTAACCAACTGGCTAGACTGGCTGGTTCCAGGAATCCTCCACTCTGCCAACCCAGTGCTGGGATTATAAGTAAGTACTATTATACTCAGCTTTTTATGTGGGTGTGGGGGGATCTGAACTCAGATCCTCATACTTGCAGAGCAAGCTGCAAGGCCTTGTTTGAGAAAGTGAATGGTGCTTGGTTGGTATTGATACTATTCCTGATACGGTGAACTGGACTCACTCTGGTGTTCTTGATCAGTTAGCACGTGGAAAGAGGCACCACAAATCATTCCCATATAGCAGATAAGAACCTGAAGGCTAGAGTGTGCAGGGCACCCGCCTAGGGTGGCACAGACAAGGTGCTGCGGGCTGTTCTATCTTGCTGTTAAAGTTAACTTACCTTACCTAATCCACACATCTCACTATGACACATAACAGCTTGAAGCTTTCTGGTGGCTGCCTCTCACCTAAGATCAAAATCCCGGTTCCTCAGTGGGGACTACAAGCTTCGGAATATACGGTATGTGGCCCTTTCCAACCTCTACATTGTTACCCGTGGCCGGAGCTGCAATGTTCTACTGCTGTTTGTTACCTGAGCCTATGATGGTGCCGCACACACTACCTCATTAACACATATTTTTCTGTGTGTTTATCTTAAAGTTTTTTTAAAATGCTTTTTTGAAGTGAAAATTCATACTTTCACTCAGGTGAGTCAGGAGGAACTAACGTTTCAGTTTCTGGGAAGTCAGGACCCCTTTGGCCGTTTATCACTACCTGCACGTGCACCCCTCCCACAGTGCTCAGGAGAATGCATTTGATTCTTGGAACCGAATTCGCGAATTAAGACACAGGTGAAAAGGAACTCTAGAACCGGCCTCCAGCTCGGTGTCCACGTGCTCCCAACTGGCCGCTTCCACTCTCAAGGCAAGTAGTTGCTGCCACACCCAGGCTCTAACTTTTCCCACTACCTTCACGTCCATCCTTTTGAGACGCAGACACACCATACTGACCGAGGATCTCAGCGCACCAAACGGGGAGTCTAATTGGGGGAAGGTATGCCAGGACATGAAGGGCAAGTCCTCAGCTCCTCCCCCCCAGAGTCACGGGGGACCACATCTGGGGGTGATCAGGCGCACGTGCGCATCTCGCCAGCGGAGCCTGTCACCAACCCCCCCCCGGTGGGGGGGAACGGTGGGGGGTAGGCAGCCCGAGTCCCGGCCCTCCCAGCGCCCCCCCCCTCCGGGTCACCTGTAATTGTAGGCGCTGAAATGCTTGCTCTCTCTCAGCATCGCCCGGTACAGATCTAACACTTGTGCGCGAGTGGAGGCTGCCATGTTGGAAAGGAAACCAAAAACTAACAACAAAAACAAACGAGTCCTCTTCGAGAACCCAAAGTTCAAACGTTGCAAAAAGCCACGCCGCGAACCAAACGCAGAGGCTCGGCCCTGCTCGCCGGGCTGCCAGGGGAGCGTCCCGCACCCGGAGACTGCGCAGGCAGGACGGCGGGCAACTAAGGGGGCGGCGCAGAGGGAAGACACCCGCGCCCGGGAGGCTCCGCGCTCCCAAGAGGTCGCCACAGCGCCTGCAGGCCCCACAGTCCTGCCCTGGGGACGCTCCTCAGAATGAAGGTCGGGACTAGAGCACCACAGCCGGTGAGCACTGTCAGCCAGCGTCCACAGGAACAGCCTGGGGGCGTGGCCGAGACCCCGGCGATTCCGGACGCCACGCCCCCTGCACCTGCCCGGGCCGCGTTGCCTGGGTTACACAGCGCGTGCACCCGCCTCGCCCTCGCGGATTGAGGCTGCCCTCGGCGCTGCCTGAACTGCTGTGCGCGCCTCCGGGCGTGATTTTGCATTATCTGGACAGGATCGGCAGATTCTGGATTTCAGCTGTTATCCTGGCTGCGGATGGCAGCGTAAGAGGCGCTGAAGTGATGATTCTGTGGCCTCCTGGAGCTCCAGCGTCGCTCAGGACAAGCCGCGCAGGGACCTTGGGCCCGGGCCTCTTCCCGTCAAGATGGCGGCGCCCAGCGCGCACGGCGTCTGGGTAGCTGCAGGTTAACCTCCTGCCTTGGAGCCAGCCGGGGGCTGCGCTGCTGTCTTTGAAACGCCCGCCATCTGGGTTTCCCGGCCAGCGCTGGGTGAGTGCCGGCTTTCCTGCATTGTCGGTGTGTCACGTTGGCGATTGTTTCGGTGCACTTTGCATTTGGCCGTGACTTTTCCCATTTCCGGGATTTTGCTTGGCGCTCTGCACTTTTTTACTGTTTACTTACTTTTTTAAAAAAATCTTTTTTTTGAGACAGGTTTTTCGGTTTGTAGCCCAGGCTGGCCTCGAGGGACACCGTCATCATGCCTTTCTCGACTTCAGTTTTATAGCCCAATTAAGTTCATAGAAAAGACAGGCGGTGTGGGCTGTAGATGTCACGAGTAAGGGGGGGCGCACGTAAGACTTTATGGACTTCCAAGGCATCATTTCACACCCAAGGCCAAAAGCTAGCAAGTTTTCTCCCGTGGCTTTTTCTTAGAAACCTTAAGCTTTTTTTACTTATCTGGGTAAAGTGGTAGTTTCTGATCTTTGATCGTTCTGGTTCTTGGTGGTAGGACTCTGAAAGGACTCCGCAGCCAGTTCTGGTTAGTGTTCGGAATGTGTACTAAAGTGAGTTTTGGAATTTTGGTTTGTATAATCGACGTCACAACGAGCCATCCCATTCATCCCCCAGACACAGACGGGAGTAATTTTATAAGTTAAAACTAAGATTACATTAGCATGTCTTCGCATCAATTTTGGCATATATGGTTTTGAAACGACATATGTTCTAAGCGAAGCTACTGTTTTCAGGAACTTTAAGGTGGGAAATACTTACGACCCTACTGTTCTTTTGTGTACGAGCAAGCGGCTTGTTCTTTGCATCCAAATGCACCTACTAGGCATGGTGTAGTGTGCTTTTATAAAAAAATTCTTAAGCCTCTCGTCTGATTTCCTCTTACTCAAATAGACTTAAATTTTTTTTAAAATAGGGGCTGGAGAGAGCGCTCTGTGGTTAAGAGCACTCGCTGCTCTTGCAGAGGACTCAGGTTCAAGTCCCAGTGCCCACATGGCAGCTAATAACCCTTAGTAACTCTAGATCCAGGGGATCCGACACCCTCTTCTGGCTTCTCCAGACATGAATGCATTTATATACATGCAGGCAAACTACTGATACATATAAAATAAAAATAAGTAAAAAAAGATTTTTGAATAATCAGTCACAGAACTTGCCTCACTTTGCACTCTTGCTGTTTGGTCATGTCATTGCTTCAGATTTATTGAGAGAGCTGTTAATATTTTGAGTTTTTCCTTTTGGATTTCTTAAAAGGCTGAAGACCAAGGTAGTTTTTCTCATTAATATAGAGTAAGATCAAGATCTATGCTCTCAGGGGATCATAAGCTATTGAGTGCTAATTATATAAATTATGTGACACAGGAAAAAATACATATTTCAAGTTCAGATAGACAAACCTGAGTAAGAAGGAAAACTTCTTAAATTGTTTGGCTTCTTAAAAAAAAAGTGGGGAATATATTTTTATTGTATTTACTTTCATCTTGAAAGTGAAATTGGATTACTGAATGCAGTTTATGCCTGATTATAAGGACTTAGTCATTAATGTGTATAATAATGTATCTAAATGCCTTTGTTGTTATCAAATACAATTTAATAAACATGCAAAGTTAAAATAATTTGGATAGCTTGTCTGTTAGTTCAAGGGATGTTTGAGATTAGAGAATTGATAGTTTCAGTAAAATTCACTGGAGGCCATAGATTGGGACTGGGCATTTGCTGTAGACCCAACAGAATAATCTAGTATAGAGTTTAATTACAGTAATCGAATTCTGGTTAGTTGCAAACTAACTAGTTATTACTAGTTTGCCAATCAAGCTGTAAGCTATTGACTAGTTGATTGTCTAGGTTATAGATAATGATGTCTTCAGTGCTTTGTTTCTGTTTTCTATAAATGCTGTCATATCACACTGTTCCTTGGAATTCTTTGATTTAGGAGTTTCCTCATTCTCATGCCATGTTTTTCTTTGTTGAGATAAACTACTAAAAGTAATTGCTCTAAGGATTTTCTCTTTTTAACAGCAGTTAATGCTAACCCAAACCTTTATAAAAACAGCTTGTGATGATCTCTCAGTTTGTTACATATCGCTGCCTTGAAAAACTAATTAAAATCACACTATAAAGCTATATCTTCATTTTTGTACATCTTCATTGCAGAAATAACTTTGTTTTTTGGACAGGGTCTCCCTGTAGCCCCAGCTGACCTGGAACTCACTATGTAGACCAGCCTGGCCTTGATTTCCCGGAGATACACCTGCCTGTGCCACCCAATTATTGGAATTAATGGCGTGTACTGGAATGACTACTTAAAACAAGATTGTAGGTAGAATTGGCCTAGGAGCTAAGACTGAACCGAGTCATGTGTCCTGTAATATTTGTTCTGTTCTGGACCAGTGCTTTATTAGGTGATAGCTTTCGGCAAATGGGTACCTACCCTCTGTCACTTAGGCTTCAAAATATAAACAGTTTTCCTAATACTTTTCTACAGTTATGGATATCTATAGTTGTCCATGTAAAGTCAGGTCTTATCCTGTATTAAAGATTAGGGTGTTCAATGAATAAATACTTGATGCTTTGTGAGAATTTTTCTTATCCAGGATAATAAGCAATGTGAAGCCATTTGCTGTCCTTACACTTAAAAGACACCATGTCATGTCAAGAAAATCTTGTATTGTGGAAGCATCTTATATGAAATTATTGTGTTCTGTCCAGTTAGATCATGGGCCTGCCCCTTTAAGATGTTGGTCACTCCGAGCAGCCAGATCTCGTAGCCTGAAGAAATCAGGCCATGTCCCTAGGATCTGTCTTTCTGGGACAGAGACTTAAGCCATGTTGTTTTGTGGCTTCATGGTCTACCCATTACCTGGCTCCTCCATGCTCCTTTTCTGTTAGGTTGACTCAGATTAAATCATGTGGTATGGAACCTCCCCTGCTGTCCCCTGAGAGGATGTAAAAGCCAGATACTTTTTCTTTGTTCAGGGGACTTCTCTGAAGGATCTTCTGTGGGCCTTCCCCATCATCCTGTACCCAACAGCTATCTCTCTTTTACTGTAGCTATTCTTCATGAAACTCCTCTCCAAGTTTTAAAAGAAGGTCTCTTTCCCATCAGGGCCCCATCATGTCCCTGAGATGATGATCTGCCTCTTTGTAATGCTCTCCTATCTCAAGGCTCCCATGGTTGCAAGACCCTTTCCTAACAAAGCTCATTTCTGATGAGACACTTCATCTCCGTTCCTTGCTCGAACCAACCACCGACGCTTTTTTTCTAACATGTATGTACATGCATGTGTCTAAATATTTATGATAATATATTCTTCAATTTGTTTTTTATTAGCATTTCATTCTAATAGAATATGATATTGGTAAAGTCCATAGACAGTAACTCATTCCTTGATTTGTTCAGGTTAACAAACAAAAACTTCTTCCCTTTAATATTTATTAAATGTTTTTGCACCTGGCATTTAAGATGACATAGTACCAGTGATGATAGAACAAAAGGGAAGTAGATAAAGCATAATGTATTTTTGATGGATTTTGTGATGGGCATAATAGTTATCACCAAATGCTCAAGGTATACAGAAGAACGATGTTCAACTAAGGACTTAATGTTTTCTTTTTTGCTTGTTTTTATTATTTTATCAGATGAGGTTGGGCATGTTCAGGGTGGTATGGCTGTAGATGTTTTTATTATAAAAAAATTTTTATATGTATGAGTGTATTGCCTGCATGTATATAACTGCACCCGTGGAGTGCAGTGCCCACAGTAATCAGAAGAGGGCACTGGATCTCCTGTAACTGGAGTTATGGATGATTGTTAGACTCCATGTGGGTGATGGGAATCGAACCCAGGTCCTCTGCAAGAGCAGCCAGTGCTCTTAACCCTTGAGCCATCTCTCCAACCCTTGTTTGTTTGGTTTTGTTTTTTTAGACAGTATCTTGCTATGTAGTCTTCGCTAGCCCAGATCTTGTTATGTTGCCCTGAACTTGCCAACCTCCTTCTGCCTCTGCCTCCTGAGTGCTGGAATTACAGGTGTGTACCACCCCACCTCGCTCAACTAGGACTTTGACCCAAGAGAACTTTGCAATTTAGATAGTTTGGGAATGAGTAGCCCAGGCTAGATGATGAGTGTGGTAAGTTAGACATGGCAGTGTCTGTTTAGGGCATGGAAGTGGAAGGCCACAATTTATGTAAACAGCTCTCAGTGTTTTGGGATAGTGGGAGGGTGGCAGGTGAGATCTCTATCAGATTACAATAGTGGTAAACCAGCTTTATTTTAGTGGTATTTCTTCTTTTTTTCGATAAGCCATTTCTTCCCCTGTGTACTAGCTAAGACATGAGTCCAGTAGAACTTAATGGTTGACCTACTGGAATGGAGATTAGTTAACGACTGTTGTTCTATACCATGATTTCAGATCCTGTATTCCAGGAATACTGAAAGTTTCTTTATCTGTACATTCAACAGAAAGCTGGGTGGCCTGCTTCTCCACACCACTGCTCTGTGCTAACTTCAAGGATACAAACCATGCAGATTATGTTTTCTGGGAGTTTATGCTTTGAATGCATTTGTGGATGATTATGATGGGGAATGGGAAGCACAAAGTGCTCTGCAGGAAGTACTGGTCAGGTGATGTTGGGTCTCAGTACAAGCAGACGTGTGTCCATCCTTGATGCCTGGGCCATACCTCAGACTGCATTCCCTGGGCACCGGATACAGCAAGGGTGGAGAAACATTGACCTGTAGGGCCTTTAAAGAGGAGGTAATAGGGTGACTGGGAGGATTTAGATTTGAGAACAGAGTATTTGGATCTGTGGATGTGGTGCTAAGATGTTTATAGGAGGAACACTTCACTTTAAGAGGAGTTGAAGGGAGACTGATGAGCACTAGGGAACTAATCTAATTGTGACTTAGAGACTGTGGTGGGCATGGATTGTCTCTCAAGCTGAGGGTAAGGGGATTCAGTGGGAAGACACCAGCTGAGCTGAACCCTCACGTATTCTCAGTCAATCACAAGCCCAGGGTATAGTGTATACTTCTACTTAA